AAAAAAAAAAAAAAAAAAAAAATGTACATATTGACTTGAATGGGTAGACTTTTATATAGGTTAGTAGTTAAAGAGTGTAACATAATGTCTTATTTTATGTAGGTTAGTACTTAAAGAGTGTAACCTAATGGGACACGACAATAATGCTTTTGATAAAAAACAAATTAATATCAACTTCCATCAAATCAAGCTACATACACAGATCAAAACTGTTTCATCAGTTGGATATTAATATCAACTTCTATGACATCAAGCTATATAGATCAAAACTGTTTCATCAGTTGAATAACCTTGCTCTGTTTAATGAAATTTTCAGCCGTAAACTCAATAACATATCACGAAGTTCAGCCAAGCTTAGGTTAGTCCTAAATCCATAAAGTAAATTAACAATTCTGAATAACCATTATAATAAAATAACGTATTGGCTCAGTCCTAAACTAAAGTATTTGCAAGCTTTTGGATTTTCACCCAGAAAAAAAGAAGACAATCTACACCACACGATGATGAACCTATTGTTTCTATTGGTGTTCGTAAAAGAATATTGTACGCTTGTGGCAATTGGAATTATTCGTGGATTTTCCAATTCGTCTTCATGAAGGACGACATAGCACATTTATGGTTTTATAGTACTTTTGATTTAAAAATATGCTCAACTTACTGGATAGAACTATTTCCAAACTTTGTGGATATTACTGAATATTTTGCATCGATATTATTTCCGAGCAAGTGTTGCTTTTATACACAAGTAAGGAAAACATTTTCAAAAAAGGAAGTTAATGTTGGGATGGTTAATATTTGCATCATCCCTACACATTAGCACAGGTACACCGTGTAATAAAATGTTAACAGACAAAAATAGGATAAGTTATGAATGAATAGTTATATATATATATATATTGATATATGTTAATCCACGCCTGTGCTTTATGTAGGGATGATGCAAATACCATCCCTACTATCTTGTTTACATTGTTTTTGAAAGATTGATGTTAGCCATCCCCACATTTACTTTCTTTATTGAAGACTTTTTCCTTATGTGTTTTCTTATATTATTCAATGCAGTGTTTCAAAAGACACAGAAAGGTTGTATTTATAACCAAGTTCTAAATACAATGAGGTTCCAACTGTAATATTTATTTGAAGATAGATTTTATATGCGGAAACATCTGTTAGCTGAGTTCTTGCAAAGATCTCAAAATATAACGTTGATAAACGGAAACATCGGCACATGTAGATAGGTAGATCTTGAAAGATCTTATAGATCATTTTCCAGACGGTTCTGCTATGATTAGTGTCTGGCGAAAAGCTT